AGGCTATTTGGAGTCATTTGTGCTTCTAAATTTTTGAGATGTTTGTTCTATATCTGTGAAATATGTTATTGGTATTTTGATAGGGATCGCATTGAATCTATAGATTGCTTTGGGTAGTATGGACATTTTAATGATGTTAATTCTTCCAATCCATGAACATGGTATATGCTTTTATTTATTTGTGTTTTCCTTAATTTATTCATTCAGTGTTGTGTAGTTTTCTGAATACAGGTCTTTTACTTCCTTGGACAATGGTGGGGGAGATTGACTGCAGGAGTTGGAGAAGGGGTAAGGTTGAGCAATGGGGAAAAAGGTGGGACAACTGTAACTGAACAACAGGAAGTAAATAAAATTTAAAAAAGTAAAATAAATAAAAGCTAGAATTGCGATAAAATACTCTACAGGTCTAATAGATTCAAAACTGACAGGAGTGGTCAAAGCTCAGCCAGCCTCAAATGTGCTCATCTGACGAAACTTCTTGCTAGCATGGTACAGCAGAATTACTGTTTAATTACCATTTAATCTTTGAGTTTTAAAAATAGGAAGCCTGGAGAATGCTATAACACTCTAACTTCCAATGATAAGATAGAGCCAACAAAACTGGGTTTAGACATTATCTTTACCCTCAAGGAATGTACAATCTAATTCTGGAGAAAAGTTAAGGGTTATAATGGAAGAATGTGATACATGCCATTAGAGACACATAGTACTGTAACATGCTTAAGAGGGTGGGCTCTACACTAAACTGCCTGAGTTTGAACTATGGTTTGCTAACTTACTAGCAACATGAAGTTATACAAGTTAAATTACTAAAATATTCTCCAGCTCTTTTTCCCAATCAGTAAAATGAGAGTAATACTACACTCTCCAAGAGCGATCTAGACAGCATTAAGACTCTGTGTAATTTTGAGGTACTCCTTTTGGTGACTTATTTCCACAGAGTAGTGTTTGAGTGTGTATTTAAGAGTATTCTTAAGTTATAGTGCATGGTATACCGTTCATTATGATTTAGAGAGAGGCTGATAGAAGTTATATTACCTAATGTGTGCTTCTAGAACTTAACAAACTCTCAAGATCATTTTGCTTCTCTGTGTCTTATGTTCCTTCTTTATCAAAATGAGCAAAGGATTCCCTGGCCAGTGTGGCTCAGTTGGTTGGATCATTGTCCCATACAGCAAAAGGTTAAGGGTTCCATTCCCAGTCAGGGCACATACCTAGGTTGTGGGTTCAATCTCCGGTCAAGACGCATATGGGAAGGCAAGCAATCAATGTTTCTTACATTGAGGTTTCTCTCTGTCTGTGTCTCCCTTCTTTTTTTTTAAAATCAATAAACATATATTTTAAAAGAAAATAAAAAAAATAAAATAATAAAGGAAATTCCGTGACAGCAGGAACATTACCAGTCTTGGTCAACATCTAGAACCGTGCCTGGCACATAGTAAATTATGGATAAATGTAGGTGCAGCACAGCTCAGGGATATTATGAAGATGGTGATACATCAGACATGAATGTAATTTTGAGAAAGAATCATGAGCGCTACAAAAAAAAAAATGACTGGCTTTTCTTGTTTAAGATTCCCAAGAGAGATAAGAGATAAGAAACTATCTTTATTACAGTTTTTTGCTGGGATTGAAACACGAGTTTTGGAGTCAGAGGATCTTGCCTTGACTTGTGGCTCTGCTGCTTAAGGCTTTGTAACCTCAGATAAGTAACCTCTATGAGCTTTATTTTTCTCATTGGAATTTGGGGTTATCACCCTTGCTTTAGAGTGTTTTTCAGAGCTCTAATAATAAATGCAATAAAAGCACTCGTGATTTGCAAATACTATACAAGTACAAATGTGCTAAGCAATGTTCTACATTGGATGACTATAAATCATAAAAAGCAAAATTGTATTCCTATTACTCAAGTCTAAGGTAGTGAAGATAAAACTGTATTTTCCCCCAGTCAGAAAAGCAAGACTGCATGAGAGAACTTTCATCACAATAGCTCCCTTTAGTTGTTGCATCTAGCTTTTTCTATGCCAGCTTCAAAAATAGTTCTAGTCTGAAGGAATTCCCTTGAGGATTTGGGTAGGGCCCCATGAAAGGTTATAAGCTGAGTTAAAAAAAAATTCCTCCTTTAATTACTCCTAACTCACACAAATTGTATGGCCAGAGTTCATTTTCTGTTAGCATTTTTAATTTATAAAAATTCAAAGTTTAAATTTATTATTTATTATCTGTTTTTATACTTCATGGATCTTTGTAGAAAAATTCCTCCAGACACTCACTGTTTACATTCTGAGCCAAAGTTGTATGTGTATATACATTTTGGGAGTGGGTTATTTTTCTTTCAAATGTGTTTAGGCAGCCTATATGTAATTCAGTTATATTTAATAATTTTTATAAAATTTTAATAATTTTAATATTTATTTAAATACAAACTTACAAACTCATAGAATATACACTTTTACAGTACTTTTAAATTTAATCTTTATTGCATTTTTTCCATTACCATTTAGCCCCTTATACCCCTCCCCCAGCAACCAACACACGGTTGTCCATGTACATGAGTCCTTTCTCCTTTTTGCTTGATCGCTCTACCTGCTATCCTCCCCCCACCCCCATACACAGTAGCTGTCTTATTTAGGGATGCTGAAAATATTCTGGAATTAGAAAGTGATGATGGTTGCACAATTTTTGAATATACTAAATAAAACCCATTCACTACCTTGTATGCTTTTTGGGTGTCATGTCTCTGTAGACTTCTAAAAATATAACATTATTAATATATAATACACATACTATCCAATTCACCCATTTAAAGTATATATATATATATTTATATATGTATGTATGTATATATATTTATATATGTAAATATATATGTATTTTTTCTTTTTTTTAGAGGTCATTTGCCTGATAACCTTAGACCTCTAGAACATGATCTGCATGGAACATATTGCGAAAGGGCCCCGAACTAGTAAGAGCAGTCATAGACCTACTGCATGAAAACCCTGCCCTTTGCACCTTTAGGCCCCTCATTCACTGAGTAACTAACTCTTATTCAACATTCATGAATGGCTATTATGTTTTCCAGAAGGGAGATGGACAGTCCACTATGGCAGATATTTTGGCATGAAGAGAAGTAAAAGTAAAAGTCTAACTACTACAATGTACACCTGAAACTAATACAAAATAATATTGAATGTAAGCTGTAATAAAAAGTATAATTTTAAATATATAACTTTTAAAGTAAAAAAAAGAATAGAAATGACAAATATCCATCTTTCACTGAAGGAGGACAACTATAATACTTCCCAGGGTATTAATGACCCCAAGTCTTCTACCAGAGGCCAAACTATGTTCAATATTTTCTAAGAAGGCAAAGCAACATAGAATACATTTCAGAATATTTCCATGAAGAATGATGCAGAGAAACACACGTTTTGCTTTTGAGTGGATATGCTTCCTTGCATGGATTTTCTAGACACTTAATTTTCTATTGACATCTTTAAAATTATGTGATACTGAGCTTCATCTTGAATGTGAAGGAGAAATAAAAAATTCAGATTCTGTAAAGTTAGAGAATACATTGTTTTTAAAAAAGCAAATGAAGTTTAAGCACTTTTAAAAAGCACTTTAATTCTACTTTTTTGATGAAGTTAATAATTAGTTGATTTGTCTGATACTCAGAGCTTACTTTTGCTTTAGAAAATCCCTTTTATTTCGGTATGTGTTCATGGCATAATGCCAGTAACATAACCTTTCATCTGTCTTATCAACTGAGTTGCTAGCAATTGTTGCTGGTTGACACTGGGTTAAACTGCAAACCCTAAAGCTGCACTTATTTGTATATGCTGAAACCTTTTTCTAAATTGTTCCAATATCCCTTCAGAGACTAATAACTAATAGAGCATACACAGAAAAAACCCCAGCATTTTTTTCAAAACATTTCTTTATCTGAAGCACATATTGCATTTCCAGCCTTTATCCTACCTCATTTTCAGTGGGTCTCCAACTAGTTATGTTATGACTATTTTATATGATCACCAACAATTACACTTCAAGTACACACAGAGTTAACCTCTTAGAGCAACTTAAATTTTCTTAACAATTTCTGTTTTCTGGATTTTGAGAGCAGTTTAAATACAGGTCTTTGGTAGCCTCTAAAAAATGGAGACATGCAGATGGATCATGACTGTATAAGAGGCTATCATGTCAGGGTCTGGCATTTTTTGTGCAGTGGGCCCCAGAGTGAATTTCTGACACAAAACAGATCAAAATTAAACATTCTTTATTTTAACTGTGTGGTTGTCCAGTATTGTATTGCAACAGTGAATCTGATTCCTTCTACTATGCACAATTATACACTGGGAAATGCTCATTTTGTTGACAATGGCTGATTGTACTGTGTTGCACTGTCAGTGTTTAAAATGCTTCTTTTAAATAGGATATGGTTATTTCTTTTATAAATCTAGAGTTTAAATCAGAAATATTGTAATATGTTTGCTAATTTCATTTTTATGTTTTTCTTGCAGGTTTCTGAAAAGTGTCTTTTCTGAAAACTGCTGCTTTCATTCCACTCTAGAGCTGTCTCTTCATAAACCCCTCTCTTTACCACAAACTTGTCCATTCTTTTTATTTCTTTGATCCTCAATTTTTCATACTTAATTTCCCTCATCCTGATTTTGCAGCAAAAATTTTTTACAGTTGTAACATCCTTACCAATCTTAATCTTTAAAGCCAAGAAATAGGGAGAAAAACTTTTCTCCCCCTGAGCTGAGACCATTCCACAAGTTGAAGGGCAGCCAACAACCATATGCTTTTTGGAAGAATAATTGAAAACATCAACTGGAGAGCACATAATTCTTTTGAAAGTCCATCAGTTATTTGAAGTAACTTTGGCAGAAAAACAAAATAAAACACTCAATATTTTAACCTTTATGGTTGCCTTCTTAGGAGTTGGTCTCTAATTTGATTTTTAGTTATTCCGATACAATTTTTATTGTATGATTGGCTTTTTGTTTGACTAGACCTGATTCAATTTAAATGAAAACCTAAGTACTAACAAAGAAAAATTTCACCAAAACAACCTGTGAAGTCTTTACATTTAGCTTGAATTCATTTTTAATCTTTTAACAACAACAGTAATACTTTCCTAGAGAGGGTGCACTTGATTTTAATTTTACTTTCAATATGACGGCTGTCAATGTTTCCCTGGTTCGTGATACGAAGTGGCTGACTTTAGAAGTCTGTAGAGAATTTCAGAGAGGAACCTGCTCTCGAGCTGACGCAGACTGTAAGTTTGCCCATCCGCCAAGAGTTTGCCATGTGGAAAATGGTCGAGTAGTGGCTTGTTTTGATTCTTTAAAGGTGAGTCTCATCTAAATGCACATAATGTTTAAATTAAATATGTTGATTTCTATTTTTAAAAAACATGATTTGCTTTCAAATTGGTAAAATTAATAATAGCATGAGAGCACTGTTTCATTTATTTTTTATTTTATTTTTTGTTTTTTATTGCTTTTAAAAATATTTTATTGTTGTCCTGTTACAGTTGTCTCCATATTTCCCCTTTTGCCCTCCTCCCCCCAAACCACCCCCTGCTTCGAGTCAGTCCCCACCCTGTTGCCCATGTTTTTTAAGGATGTAGACCTTGTGTTTGTAAAACTAAGCCAGACTAAAGTTCACCCCATCAAAGGCACTGATCAGGAGAGGTAGACTTAAAGAAAAAAAATTGGGGAATTTTTGTAGCAATGAGAAACTGCAGCCTTGACATACTTTTTTTGTGTGCAGTTTAGATTTTGAATACAGTGATCATAATCTTCATATAACCTAGAGCAACCCTTTACTAAATTATACCTTATTATCTATGTTATCAAAATACACTTGTCAGAGACCAGTCAGCTTCAGAGGATAGTCAGCCAAGATAGTATAAGGTGAAAATCTCACTACCCAGGAAGAAAATGATGGCATTTGAAGTTTCTTAGTCAAAGTATACTTTCAATGTTTAACTGAAACATTGCTATAAAACTAGATTCACTAGTTTTTTTTCTTCCTGAATTGCTTTTTGACCAATTTCATATTTGTGAGTATATTTTATAAAGTCTTATCACCAATGTCAACAAACCCAAAAAATATGTATTAGGAAATAAACAAAATATGAGAAAGAATGAAATATTATGTAAAATAGCATTTCTATGATTGCAGAGCAAGAAAATGTACTGATGTCCATATTTTATTCATAACTATCCTTATATTAAGGATAAAAATGTATAAATTAAAGCATAGAAGTAAAAGAGCAATAGATTCCTGGCTTAATTAATAAAATTTGCTAGGATACATTCAAGATTTTTTCCAAAATGCACCGAAGTTAATTAAGCATAACAAGAACCTTCCCAATTTTTTGATAGTTTTATACTCATCATGACCAATTTTACCTTATTAACATTTTTGTTTTTATTTATTTATTTTTAGAGAGAGGGGAGGGAGGGAGAAAGAGAGGGAGAGAAACATTGATGTGTGAGAGAAACATCAGCTGGTTGCCTCTGCCACGCCCCCAACTGGGGACCTGGCCCACAACCCAGGCATGAGCCCTGACTGGGAATCTAGCCAGCAGCCTTTCGATTTGTAGGCCAGTGCTCAATCCACTGAGCCACACCGGCCAAGGCTCCTCATTAACATTTTTATTTATGCATTGGCTAATAAAGATGTATTTCTTCAGGTACTCTTTTCTTTAGAAAACATTTTATCAAGTGATATACTACTTAAGTAGTTACTTTTACTTATTTTGTGGTTATGAGTTTTGTTTGTTTGTTTTTTTGCAAACCATTCCAGTTCAAGAATGGAAACTTTTTGGCATAAAGATAATGGTAATTCCTACCATTAAAATATCTAGATTGCTCTTATTTGCAGTAAATATTATGACCAAAGGGCTTATTATGTTTTATTTTTCATTTCAGTATCATTCAAACTTCACCTACAATTATTTTCTATATTACTTAAATCTGTTGCTGCAGAACCAGGCACTACCATGAGGTGGAAAAGAGCACTGGGTTAGTTGGGGGAAGAAATATATCTTTCATCTGGTCTATAAAGAGAATCTAGCACTGCACTAGGCACTTTACATATTTTTTCAGGAGATCTGAGTTACAGTCTCAGCTCCACTATTGACCCAGCTACTTAATCTGATACAATTTGTGTTATTTCATCTAACAGATGAGTACTCTTCTCTACTTAACCTCCATGATTATTGTGGCATTCCAATAAGGTTGATGAAAAACCATCTATCACAGGAAGTAGGTGGAGGTGGAAGAGGGTATAGGGGGATAAATGGTGATGGAAAAAATAAAATACAGAATAAATTTTGAAAAGTGAAATAAATGAAAGGTGTCCTTGCTATTAACTAAGATGTTTTTAGGAGTCTTCAAAACAGTTTTATTAAGTTAGTGTTTATTATTTAAAATTATAAACTTATGTTTCAAATGTATATGCCCAAATCTAGTTGCCTGAAGGTGATGTTAGTTTTTCAAGCTAAGTATCACTGTTTTTATGGTTTACTCTTTGATACAGAGCTCCTTTCAGGCTTTGTAAAGTCTATCTTCCCAGGAATCTGGTGGAAGAAGACATGTGATATTCCTAATCAGTGTTACAGTTCAGATGAGTTCTTTCGTTTAAAACCAATAGAGTGCCATAAAGGAAACATTTTGAGGAAGAGTAATATGAAAAGGGATTGTTAACAAAATGCACATTGCATTATTACTTTTAAAGCTTGGAAAATGTTGAATTCAGAAACTATATAGATAATGATCAATGAATATTAATAAGCCACTTAATTATTTAAATATAGTATCTATTCACTGCATTCCTAGTTTTAAAAATAATTTTGCATTATGTTAACACCTGATGACCAGTCACACAAGATATAGATGATTTACATTATCATTACATTCTCAAGTTTTAATGAAAACCTTAATATTATAAATGTACAATGTACATTGTATAAATATTACAATGTACAAATGAAATTGTTTTCAAACAATTATTTTGCTATTGAGATACCACATTTATCATAGTTCTATGTCTGCACAAAAGCTTTGCAGTTCTCTTATTTTATTTCTTATTCATGATATGCTTGAAAGGTATGCTAAGTTAAGGATAATTGACTTATGTGGGTTGTACTACTATGATACCTATAATACACAAATAACACATGTCAATGGTTATTGCAATATTTGCTATCTGTGAGTTTGTATAACCTAATCACTTTTGAAATGCATCTGTGCACTGTTCTTTCGTGAGTGGTAAAATAACTAAAGCAATAATTTCATGAGTTTTGGCCACTGTTTTTTTGTTTGTTTGTTTGTTTGTTTCTTGGTCTTTGTAAGGACTCCTTTACCACTGGGTACCCTACTGGATGATGATGGTTCTTTCCCTTTATAATAGAAACAATAGATATAATGTCCTGTACTGACTTCATAATGAGGGAATATTGTGGAAATACGGAGGGCAAGCTTGATGGTTAATTGTGCATTGTACTGAAGTGCTATGCCCATCACTCCCTGAATGTTGACTGTTCAGTGATGAAGATTACACTATCTTCATATAGAGCCCTAGACAGTGCAGCCCATATTAATTTCCAGTTACATAAGAGTCTTATGTTATGCTGATATTCAGCTGTTTTTGACTCAATTGCCTAGTCTGTGTGACATAATTTATTTAAAAAATTTTCCCCAAAGTATTGCTTAACTCATTCTGCACCAAAATCTTAATATTACAGTTTAACATTGATTTGGGTGTGTATTTTTAGTGAATGTCCTTGGGAGTTAACAAAACATCATCACTAAAAATACTAACCTAAAATCTTTGAGATTATTTTCGTAACCAAGATTGTTGTTTTCATGTATTCTGCTTCAACAATGTCATGATATCTTGAATCTTCCCTTGCATACCTAAAGCAGTGTGATATCAACCATCTGTTTTCCAGAAAGAATATAAATGCTGTCATTATTTCATTATGACACATCAACACCCATCACATCTGCCCACCACACTCACCAGTTTGGGTAGTTTTGTAACAAAAAGTTCTCAAGAAAGGCCTTAGCAGCAGGCATATTAAAAAAACAGTCATGTCAACCCATATACATTCCTAAAATATTTGAACAGGGTGAGGACCACACATAAAACAGCTCCACACTATCTTCAAACATCACATACGATCACAGGCAAAATATTTTCACAAGTGAAACCTGTTTTGTATGTATATGAATGTGACTCTATCCTTGTAGGTCAAATTGTGCCAAGTATATTCTCTACTAGTATCACTAGTCACCACAGTTTTCACTAGTTTAAAATTTAATCATTTCTTTAAAAAAATAAAATAAAATTTAATCATTTCTTGACTGAATATGTACCTCATCCTTGTTTGCTAAGGGAAAAGTTACTGGGAGCAGAAGACTGCTAGCAACATAATCCCAAGGCTTGCTGAATTATCCAAAATTTAGAACCATTTATGAGCTCCATCAGAGGGATCTGCTGCACTATAAAAACACAAAGGCAGCACCCCTCATCCTTACACTCAAAGAAAATAACATTTTACTAAGGGACCTTTATCTTCTATGATACTGGCCTTAAAAAGGAAGAATCTTTGATAAAAGTCAATGCTATTTTGGACATTTCAAAAACCGTTTTTGAAAGAAAAATAGAATTTCAAGTAGTACTTAAATACATATTGATAGCTCAGTCTTACTTTTTAAACTTTTAATTTTGAAATAAGTATAGACTTGCTAAAAAATTGTAAAAATTGTACAGGGATTCTATCCTTCATTTTGTTTATGTGGTGCATCACATTTATTGATTTGTGAATGTTGTACAAAACTTGCATTCCTGGAATAAATCTACTTGATCATGGTGTATGATCTTTTTGATGTATAGCTGTATTTGGTTTGCTAATATTTTGTTGAGAATTTTAGCATCTATGTTTATCAGGCATATTGGCCTATGATTTCCATTTTTTGTAATGTCTTTATCTGGTTTTGGAATTAAGATAATGCTGGCCTCATCAAATGAGTTTGGGAACCTCCTATCCTCTTGAATTTTATGAAATAGATTGAGAGAGGTGTTAGTTCTTCTCAGGATGTTTGGTGAAATTCAGCCATGAAGACTTCCGGTACAGGGCTTTTGTTCGTTGGGAGTTTTTTTATTACTGCTTCAATTCCACTAGGTGTAACCTGTATATTCAGATTCTCTGATTCTTCTGGATTTAGTTTTGAAAGATTATATATTTCTAGGAATTTATCCATTTCATCTAGGTTGTTCAATTTGTTGGCATATAGTTGTTTGCAGTAATTTCTTACAATCCTTTGTATTCCTTT